GGAGTGCAGCTGTTGGTGTTGGTGCTGGTGGTGGGGCCACCGGTTCATGGCGCCTCAGAGACCAGGCAGGGAGCCAGGAGGAAGGTACCTGCCTTGTTGGGGCTCAGGGACAGCATCTTGGAGGCCCTGGAGATGGAGAGAGCCAGCACCTGAGCATGACGCTGTTGAAGGCAGCAAACGACCCAGGTGGAAGTGTGGGGGCGGAAGCTGGGCCGGTCCCTGGGGCTGCAGTAAGTGGGGAGCCTGGGCCCAATGAGCTCGGGGCTTAGGACAGCCTCGGGTTTAGAAAAGCCGGCTGGCCAGTGCAGGGACGGCTGCTGGCATTCGGAGGCAGTGGAGGCTTTTGCTTGTGTGGGCTGGGGGGGAGGCTGGGGGAGACTGTGGTTGTGTAGACAGTGTGCTGCTCGGCACCTTCACGGGTCAAGGCCCTGTGAGGTGGAGGCTGTGGAGGCTTCTGCACCTGCTTGTTGCTGTGTAGTCACCCACAGCCACCTGCAGGGTGATGTGGAGGTGACCCTCCAGTGCTGGGCTGGGTCACAGCGGCCATCGTGAGCATTTCTTCTCTGCAGAACATGGTCACGGAAGGGGTGAGGCTGGGAGGGAGGCACAAGGGGCCTGGTTTTTGCGCCTTCACCCGCAATGCCAGTTGGGTGCTGAGTGCTCCTCCAAAAGGTAGCCAGGTGGGGGGTCAGCACAGTGGCGGCTCCCGCTTTCTGCACCTAGCCAGGTGCCCATGTTCTCTGACTCCGATCATTGGCAGGGCTGGCAGTTACCTTGTCGTGGTCCCCTCTCAGGGTACGTCTTCGTGGATTTCAGCAGCGAAGAGGAGGTGAAGAGAGCACTGAAGTGCAACCGGGAGTACATGGATAAGGAGGCGCGGCACTGCGTCCTGGGCTCCCTGGTTCCCGCGTGGGCCCTGGCTTAGGTGCATGTGCTGAGCGTCCCCCCCTGCTACATGCTCTGAGCACTGAGGGTCCAGCAGCAAACAGGCTGCAGAGAGGCAGGTGGTGCTGGAG